CAACACACCATCACCTTCCCTCTGCTCTACACCATCACCCAACACACCATCACCTTCCCTCTGCTCTACACCATCACCCAACACACCATCACCTCCCCTCTGCTCTACACCATCACCGCCCTTCTGCTCTACACCATCACCACTCTGCTCTACACCATCACCTTTCCTCTGCTCTACACCATCACCGCCCCTCTTATTGCCCTATTGGAGGTATTATGAACGTATCTGACCCAATGAAGCTTCTACACAAAGGTCACAGCAATAAGGTGTCGACAGTGAACCGAGACTACCTTAACGAGTTTCATTCTCTTATTGGCAGTTAGCGTATTAAGTTGGAATATCCCAGCAAGTTGAGTCCAATATCACACAGACGACACTCCTTAACCCCGGAAGGATGCTCTCGAGGTATGCATAGTGTAGTAGATAGATACTGTATATGCCACGCCCTGGTGTCTCTGTGTGTGTGTTGTGGGAGGCGTTGTTTGTTGATTCAATAATATCCGGGAACAAAGAAACGTGTGTGTGTGTGTGTGTGTGGAGGGGGGCACAAGGTAGGGGAATCACATAAAGCATTGTGACAACCTGCAGCAAGACAGTTGGGGAGACCTTTTATTCATCGACACATCCATTGGCACATTAGTAGGCCACTAAATACCATCTTGTGTCCGTGTGTGATCTTATCCTAAAACACACACACACACACACACACACACACACACACACACACACTGTCCAGCCCTATCAGATTTGTTTTTTGTAGTGATTCCCTAACACAGTAGCCTAGTTGACTGGTGGTGGTAATGTTAGGGATGTTGAGGGTGGTGTTAGGGATGATGTGATGGTGGTGTTAGGGATGATGGTGATGGTGGTGTTAGGGATGATGTGATGGTGGTGTTAGGGATGATGTGATGGTGGTGTTAGGGATGATGATGATGGTGATGATGGTGTTAGGGATGATGTGATGGTGGTGTTAGGGATGATGAGGGTGGTGTTAGGGATGAGTGTGATAAAATAGGATGAGGATGGTGGTAAGGGGATGATGATGGTGATGGTGATAGGATGATGAGGGTGGTGTTAGGGATGATGAGGGTGGTGCTAGGGATGGTGATGGTGGTGTTAGGATGATGATGGGTGGTGTTAAGGATGATGAGGTGGTGTTAGGATGATGTGGGATGGTGTGTTAGGGATGATGATGATGGTGATGGTGGTGTTAGGGATGATGAGGGTAAAAGTAGGATGATGATGGTGGTGTTATGGATGGTGATGGTGAAAAGCAGGGGATGATGATGGTGCAAGTTAGGGATGATGAGGGTGGTAGGGATGATGTGATGGTGGTGTTAGGGATGGTGATGGTGGTGTTAGGGATGATGATGGTGATGATGATGATGATGATGATGAAAATGTTAGGGATGATGATGGTGGTGGTGGTGGTTGTGGTGGTGGTGGTGGGGGAGGATTTTGGGTGGTGAAAATAATAAACCATTTAGCAGTGTTCGGTTTAAGAGCCACACCCTGGCACCTCTTAGCAAACACTAACAATCACAGCATCTCTGACTTTTATTATAATTGGTATTTAAAGAATCATAAAGATGTGTCTATTGTTTTCCCTCTGAGATGTGATGAAGAAACACATACTTTCTCACATCGTTAGTGAATCATTGACAGGGTGTTTGGCCAGGATAACGATTAACATAAAGCACGTGTGTTGCTTCCTGGGTTCCATTCATAGTTAGTGCCACTCTTTTCACTACTCGCCAACAATGTGAGTTTCTTCCGTGGTTGTGTTTACTTCTTTTGGTTAGGTTAGGTTAGGTTGGGTTAGGTTGGGTTAGGTTAGGTAGAGCTTGGTGCGGTGGTGTAGTGCGGGGAAGGAAGCACTGGGTAATGTGTTGAGGTAGCTGCCATTACCTACAACACTCCCATTATAGTACCTCACTGCTACTACACGTCCTCGCTCGTATCTCACTACTTTCTATACTAGCCTCAACCCTCCATCCCCTCACACCCATGTACAGTACACACCCTCTCACACACACCTCCGTCACCTCACACAAACATTCCCACCCTTCACATTCACACCCCCACCCTTGACATTCACACCCCCACCCTTCACACACATATCTCTCTCTCTCTCTCTCTCTCTCTCTCTCTCTCTCTCTCTCTCTCTCTCTCTCTCTCTCTCTCTCTCTTCACTACTCCATCCTCAACAACCAAGATGAATTATTCCCTTACGCCTCTCTCCCCTACACTAGACAACTAAGAATCAACACTAAATAAGACTGATGTTCAGACGTAGAAATGAATTTGAATGTGAATTATAAATGACTACAGAAAGAGCTACATAAAGGTGGCCTCTGTGTGTGTGTGTGTGTGTGTGTGTGTGTGTGTGTGTGTGTGTGGTTCATTACGTATAGTGACTAGGGTGGTAGCGTTGAGAGTGACCTGGGTTATGAGGTGCAGGTGGGCGTTATGTAAACAAGTGTGCTTTATAAATGATTAACCTCCATCACTGTGAGTTATTTATTATTGTTGTTGTTTTTTTCACCTCTACACCAACGTGAGTATTTCTCTTGGTAATTTTACAATAGTTCAATTATCGTATTTTTTTTTTTCAAGGGTGATTTATTTTTGTAAGGTGAGGAAGGGGAGGGAAGGAAGGTGTGGAAGGGAAGGAAGGTGAGGAGAGGGAGGGAAAGGTGAGAGAGAGGAGGAGGGAAGGTGAGGGAAGATGGAGGGAAGGTAAGAGAGAGGGAGGGAGGGAGGTGACGATAAGGAGGGAAAGGTGAGAGAGGGAGGGAAGGAGTAGGGGAGAGGGAGGGAGGAAGGTGAGGGGAAAAGGGAAAAAGGTGAGGAGAGGGGAGGGAAAGGTGGGGAGAGGTAGGGAAGGTAAGGAGAGAGGGAAGGTGGGGGAGAGGGAGGGAAGGTGGGAGACGGAGAAGGTGGGGGAGAGGGAGGGAGGGAAGGTGAGGAAAAGGAAGGAAGGTGAGGGAGAGGGAGGGAAGGTGGGGAGAGGGAGGGAAGATGGGGAGAGGGAGGGAAGGTGGGGAGACGGAGGGAAGGTGGGAAGAAGGAGAAAGGAAGACTTAGGTTTTTAGGTATATCATACACCCCAGTGCTCTTCCGTGTGAACCAGCTTGACACATGGCATATGAAGGCAATGCCAAATTACCTCATGCACTGTCAAGGTCGTTGTAGCCAGGAGAGTCACACTAGGTGGCCAAGTACACTGTCTCCTACACTGTCAAGGGCGCAGTGGCCAGGAGAGTCACACTAGGTGGCCAAGTACACTGTCTCCTACACTGTCAAGGGCGCAGTGGCCAGGAGAGTCACACTAGGTGGCCAAGTACACTGTCTCCTACACTGTCAAGGGCGCAGTGGCCAGGAGAGTCACACTAGGTGGCCAAGTATACTGTCCAAGGTCTCAGTAGAGTAGGGTCACTGGGTGGCCAAGTATACTGTCCAAGGTCTCAGTAAGAAGCAGAAGAGTCACACTAGATTGTGCAGAGTATACTGTCAAAGTCTCAGTAAGCAGGAGAGTCACTAGGTGGCCAAGTATACTGTCAAAGTCTCAGTAAGCAGAGGAGAGTCACACTAGGTGGCCAAGTATACTGTCAAAGTCTCAGTAAGCAGGAGAGTCACACTAGGTGGCCAAGTATACACTGTCTCAGTCAAGCAGTGAGAGAGTCACACTAGGTGGCCAAGTATACTGTCAAAGTCTCAGGAAGCAGAAGAGTCACACTAGGTGGCCAAGTATACTGTCAAGGTCTCAGTAAGTAGGAGAGTCACACTAGGTGGCCAAGTATACTGTCAAGGTCTCAGTAAGTAGGAGTCACACTAGGTGGCCAAGTATACTGTCAAGGTCTCAGTAAGCAGAAGAGTCACACTAGGTGGCCAAGTATACTGTCAAGGTCTCAGTAAGTAGGAGTCACACTAGGTGGCCAAGTATACTGTCAAAGTCTCAGGAAGCAGGAGAGTCACACTAGGTGGTCAGGTACACAACATCGTACAGTCAGCCTTTCGGTAATTGTCATGAAAAAATGTGGGTGGAGTGATAAAAGTTGTGGTATTTTATTTTCAAGGCTTTTGTTTGAAGTTTTGTTTATTTTACGTTACACAGTTTTGTATCAACTTTTTTTTAGCATTGTGGAGCCGCTTCAATAAGTGAACAACAGGCGTGACGAGAATCCCCCATTGTACCCAGTTTATTCTCACCCTTACTTCAGTTCACTCTAACCTCATCCTTACCTCACTCACTCTAACCTTCTCACTGTAACCTCACTCACTCTCTCTCTCTCTCTTACCTCCTTCATACTTCCCTCTCTCTTGTTAACATTAATTTATTTTAGAGTCGTGTTTTTTTATTAATAATGGACAACATAATGCTAAGCTAATTTAACTAAAACTAATAATATAACCTAACCTATCCTAACCTAACCTATCCTATCCTATCCTATCCTATCCTATCCTAACCTAACCTAACCTATTAGGTATATTAAGAAAAAACGAAAGTTGTGGGTCAATTAAAAGCAATAATACCATAGTTAAAACAGTAATGTACAATGAAAGATTAATATTGGGATACATTTTTGTTATTGTTTTAGGTATGTAGATACCGTGAGTGATGCCCCAAGAGGCTGTGTGTGTGTGTGTGTGTGTGTGTCACCTTTTTATGTATTTGTCCCTGTGGGCTGTCACGTAGAGGCTGTCGTGTGTACAGTGACAGTATAGTGACCTCCACTACCCTCACTCACTGCACCACCGCTACACCTTCATCCCTGTTGTGGGGTATAACTAGGTATTGTGGGGGTGCAGTGGTGGTGTAGGCTGTGTTGTGGGGGTGGTGATGATGTAGGCTGCAGGGTCGTGGTGCTGTAGGCTGCTTGGTGATGGTGGTGACAGTGGTGGTGGTGATAGTAGTGATGTAGGCTGCGTGATGGTGGTGGTGGTGGTGGTAGCGGGTAAGGCGGCGGCAGCAGCAGCAGTCATTCAGGTGGCGGGCGTGGTGGAGTGAGGAGGTTCAGTGGTGCTGGTCTGGGCGCCGCCGCTCTATCATTACTTTAGTCACACGGGCCGCGGCGCTCACCACCACAACACACGCTTGGTGATCCTATGGGCACACCACGTACCTCTGCTGCTACTGCCAACACAGAAACTACCTCACTAGCTAACTATCAGTGAAGTTGAACCCACTTGTGAGGTGACGACGACAGTGTTGTAGCTGACGGATAAACTCACTCCCACTACCCAGTGAACGAAGGGTTTTAACAAGGTTGTGAGTACGGTGTGTCGTTAAGCAAAGACCGGTGTTGATTCCCGGTGTTAGCTGGTGTGTGCCGGCGTGGGTCGTGGTGTGAGTGGAGGGGATTGTGGAGTTTTAAAGCTGGTGGAAAGAGTTGGTGGAGTGAGGGAGTGTAGTGGTGACGCGGGGGAGGACCCAGCCAGGGAGCGGAGTACTTCCCTTTTCAACCAGGAACACCTGTGCCTTTCTCACTTAGGATAACGTATCATCATGTGAGTATTATCACCTCTCTGTTGTGGTCGTGCTGAGCCGTCACGGTCAAACTTGTCTCTTACTATGTTGTTGATTCCTTGAGGCTGAGTGATGTTTGACCTTAAGACCTTTTAACACCAGTAAAGACCTTACTCGTAAATTATAATACAGTTATGGAGGTAAATTAAACGACAGCGTCTATGTAGATTAAACCCGAAAATTTATACGACAGTAATGGGAAGAAATTCACTGGGCAGTAACGGGTGAAAATTGATGCGACAGCAAAGTAGGAAAGTTACAACACAGCGACTACACAAATTTTCTCGATGACAACTGAAGAAAAATGACACCAGTAGTAACAGAATGGTACTAGTGATGGGGGAGGGAAGTCTTATACTGTACAGGTTAATAATGGGTAAATAACACTCACTATCACATTAAAACAAATAAAATGATTCACACTCACTCATTACCCATCAACATCACTTTACTACCATAATATAATTCTTTAATCCTTATTCTTTGTCATCTACGACTTACAACACTACACAACCCGGAGTCAGCATTTTCTTTATTGACAATCGTGTACCTTAAGTGGGAGACTGAGTTGGTGTTCATAAATTAAAGTTATTGTCAGTTTCTAAGAATGTATTGTGTATATTTATTGTTAACTTTAGTTTAATAACAGTATGACTTCCCTGTGTATCGTCATATACTTGTTTCTGTAGTGTAGGTGTAGCGAGTGTTCGTCCTGTGTGTGTGTGTAGGTGTACCGGGTGTTCGTCATGTGTGTGTGTGTAGGTGTACCGAGTGTTCGTCATGTGTGTGTGTGTAGGTGTACCGGGTGTTCGTCATGTGTGTGTGTGTAGGTGTACCGAGTGTTCGTCATGTGTGTGTGTGTAGGTGTACCGGGTGTTCGTCATGTGTGTGTGTAGGTGTAGCGAGTGTTCGTCATGTGTGTGTGGTGTGTGGTGTCCTGTGTGTGTAGGTGTACCGGGTGTCCACCATGTGTGTGTGGGTGTACCGGGTGTCCACCATGTGTGTGTAGGTGTACCGGGTGTCCACCATGTGTGTGTAGGTGTACCGTGTCCACCATGTGTGTGTAGGTGTACCAGGTGTCCACCATGTGTGTGTGGGTGTACCGGGTGTCCACCATGTGTGTGTAGGTGTGCAGGTGTCCACCATGTGTGTGGAGTGTGTACCGGGTGTCCACCATGTGTGTGTGTAGGTGTACCGGGTGTCCACCATGTGTGTGTAGAACTTGTCCACCATGTGTGTGTGGTGTACCGGGTGTCCACCATGTGTGTGTAGCTGGGTGTGCATGTGTAGGTGTACCACCATGTGTGTGTGGGTGTACCACTGTGTGTGTGTGGTGCTGTGTGTGTGTGTTCGTGTGTAGGTGTACCAGGTGTTCGTCATGTGTGTGTAGGTGTACGGGTGTCCACCATGTGTGTGTAGGTGTACCGGGTGTTCGTCATGTGTAGGTGTACCGGGTGTCCACCATGTGTGTGTAGGTGTACCGGGTGTCCACCATGTGTGTGAACTAACACCATCTAAGACAAGTACACTGATCATTGTGTTAAGTTTGCTGGAGTTAGGACATCATTGACGTAAGGCTCAGGGTAGCAGTGTGTCTTGGTGTCTGAGGTTAGTGTCTTCTGGCTGGGACTTGGGTCATGGTAAGTGTATCTCATGGTGCTGTGGTAAGACCTAGTTGACGAAGGCATTGTTTACGTGGGGTTAACAACTGTAGGAGAGTAATTGTGATGGTGTTTTCTCGTGGAATAAGCAAAAGGTGTGTTTGTGTGTGTGTGTATTGGTCTGGCAGCTGGGGCGGGGCGCTGGTGTTTAGGTATGGGGAGGGAGGGGGGGGGGGTGTATGGCGGGCCAGCTGATGGAGGCCACGCCCACTAGACAGCCTCTGGAACCGCTGCCCTACGCACCCACCAGGGATCAAGCCCTCTACGTCATGGCGCGCCCCTCACACTTCTTACCCACGGCAGCGTCCCTCCAGTAGTCTCCTATATTACTCTCACGCCACTATTTTTCCTGACTTTGTTTTCTTATTATGATCCAAGAATTTTTTCCCCTTGTCACATTTTCTTGTTTTTGGGCTTCCTCTTCTCACATTATCTTCACGGTGTCTCAACCTCTCTGGCTCAGGTCAGGAACACGTCTAGACTCTGCTCTTACTCTACAATTCAGTGTTTTTGGATTGGATCATATTTTTACTGTACTCAAAGGTTGCTCCCTCCGGTAATTGCACAGGTATTTTCAGGCGTGGGTTGTTGCTGTTGATCTTGATGATGGATCGTTTAGGTGTGTGTGTGTGTGTGTGTGTGTGTGTGTGTGTGTGCTTCAGCTTCATCCATGTATCACCTTCATTCGCCAGTGTCACTATCTCTTACGTCTTCTCTCCTCACGCCACATACCCAGATGACATGTGTACCCTCACGTATCATGTAACTGTCATCTGCCTACATGTGGAATGTGTACCTACGTGTTGTTTTGCTTTAAGTCTCGTATGAGCGATGTGTCATGTCCATTGGGAGTCAGAGGAAGCGTCTCTCATAAAGGTTACCAGACGGTCTGCCTCATCAGCACCTCACGTCCTTATTATATGTGGTGAGGCTTCCTGTGTGGGTGTCCTCCTAACTCACGGTCCGCAGCTGAAGGAGGGCGCGAGATAGGGAGAGACGAAGGTGGAACAGTGAGGAGGGGTTATGCGGGATAGGGAAGATGGGTGAAGGAGAAAGAGGAGGTAAAGAGGAGGTGAGGGCCTCTCTTACTCTCCTGGGCTCTCGTGGCGTTAGATGTACAGAGAACAGAGGCGTGATCTGAGGGATGGGAAGTGAAGACATGGTATCTCTTAGAGCACGGGAAGTTATCTATGTTTTGAGGGAGGGGGAAGGCCTGATGGGTACCTAGGGAAGACGGGAGTTAGGCATTGGGGAGAGGGACGGAGAGGGTAAGCAGGAAAGAGGTGAAGGTGTGGCTCGTCAATATGGTGGTGTGGTGCAGGTGTGGCCCATTACTGAAGATTAGCGTGGTGGCCAGCTATTGGTTACGGAAGGTTAGTGTGGTGACCACCAGCTGGCAGTGTCCCCACAGGTGACAGAGGCAAGTGTTAGTCACAGTGTATTAGGTATGGCGTCTCATTTGGCAGGGCACACAGTCTCACTTTCTTTTCTGGCTTCTCGTTATTGCATTTTTTTAGATGTTTTTTCTTTCCCAACCTGAAAGAATTACGACGGTCACGGGTTGTGGAAATAGACAAATTATATTGGGATGGTGTTGTTGTGGACGTTAATTTATGGACAGCAACAGCCACTACTCTGCCGCTGACAAATATAACCCACATGTGTTGCGGTCATAACACGAGCTAACTGGCCTTTTTCTCTCATGATATCAAAGTGTAGTAAATCAGGTTTGTGTTGAGGTTGTGTATGGGATTAGATATGGAAGAGGTGTAGTGGGAGGGTGAGGTGGTGGTGGGGGAGGACCAATCAGCGCCCGTCCTTATCAAATATACGTGGTGTGTGCTATATCAAGGGTGCAGGGGGCGGCCATCACGAACTGGGGCACCATTTCTTCCTGTGAGAGTGTCATGTTCTTCTCTGTGTTACCTCAGTAGCTATACAAGTTACAGATTTGGGTTTAGTCTCTTTAATTCACAAGTGGAAATAATATTTTAAAGTTTATAAGTGATTCCAGGTGTGAATTTTAACATAGTAAAATTAATTGGTGTTAATCCTCACCCCGCTCCGCCCCACAGAACCCCACCCCACCCCCACAAAACCCCACCCCCACCCCACAAACCCCACCCCAATTCCCCACACCCCACAATACCCCACCCCCACAAAACCCCACCCCCACAAAACCCCATACCACACCCCTTCCTTCGTATCCACAACACACGTCATTCCTTATCAGTCTTCCTCTATGTCATACAGCTTCCCTCTAGTCTAACTGTATCATCATTTCCTCCTCTTATCTCCCCTTATCTCGCGTAATAAATCTCCTTCCCTTTCATATATCTCCATTAACCCAATATCCTATAGTTCTTTCATGTAGGGGACTCTAAGCGTCTCTAACTACACAACTAAACCCTTCCACTAAACTTCACAACACACCTTACACCCACCCGCAACACACCACACCCACCCACTACACTCCACAACACACCCTACACTCACATATAATACTCCACAACACACCCTACACCCGTTCCACTACACTCCTCAACACACACACACTACACCCACCCACAACCCTCCACAACACAACCTACACCCAACCACAATACAGAAACAAAAAGAGCTGTAAATTATAGAGTCCCCTCAGGCTCTGTTACCGTGTATGGAGGCGGCCCACACCAGCAGTGAATCTTGGTATTAAACTCAGGTGTAAGGTGTTGAATGAGGCGTTTGTTTGTGAAGCGCTTTAGGACGGTGAAGGTGGGTCTCATGCCCCCTGACTCCTTGCGGTACTGAATACACACAACACTGAAAGACCACTCGTTCATTGTTTATCTAAGAGTGACTTGACGACTTAGAACACATTTTTATTACACAGACAACTTAAAATTCTTATTATTATTACACAGACAACTTAAAACTCTTATATTACACAGACAACTTAAAACTCTTATTACTATTACACAAACAACTTAAAACTCTTATTGTTATTACACAGACAACTTAAAACTCTTATATTACACAGACAACTTAAAACTCTTATTATTATTACACAGACAACTTAAAACTCTTATTATTATTACAGACTACTTAAAACTCTTATTATTATTACTCAAACAACTTAAAACTCTTATTATTATTATTATTACACAGATAAATGGGTAAAAGTTGTTTCTTAATCGTGTCCTTTTTTGCCTGAGGGTATGGTCCGTGTGTTGGGGTGTGTGCAATGACAGAGAGAGGGACCACTTCTTGTTGGCCCTCAGGCAGACCCAGCAGGAGCCGGCAGCGGAGAGACGGTCGATTAGGAAATGTGTGCCTGT